TGATAGTGGCACGGATTTCATCACTGACTACTGTTCTTGCAGCCCTTGGAATGCCACCACCACGCATTCTTACACCTCTACCTTGCCCTCTCCTTGGGCCTGCTCTTCTCTCTGGGCCCCTTGCTCTTACTCCTCCTCGACCAGACATTACAGTGTTTGTCTTTTTTTTGTTTCCAAAAACATCACTCCTCAAGGTCTTGCCTTATGAACCCCACTGAGTCTAAGCCAGAATGGAAGAAGGTGTGGTTGGCCCAATTTACCCAACATAAATCAGCTGTGTGTCAATTATTCAATTGTTTGTTTGTTTACAGCTGAGATATATTTTTGATATTGATATTGTTTTTGTACTGATATCATTGCAGAAGCAGAGGCTTTTATACTGTATCTAAGGTTTGGAATATTGTTTTTGCTATTGTGGGATGTTGTGTGTTAACATTCGTAGATACTACAAGAACAGTCCATAATTTTGTTGGGAGGTATAGCTTGTCTGTTAAGAAAATGTAAGCATTGTGGAAATGTGTTCACTGACTGCATATTGGGTGCACACGACATGAAATGTGTGAATGGTATGGCCACAACAGACCGATGCTGTGCTAATTGTGTTTAGAGTTTTGCAAATGTGACAGCTGTTTGGACAAACGCTTGTTGGCGACTGAAAAAACTGTAATATTTAGCTTTTCAGAGCCGGCCTCTCTGCTCTTTCACTCACTGTCAGTCCTCGTGCCTGAGCAGTTACAGACCAGTGTTTTGTCTTTGTTGAACCACGCTGACCTCATTCAAGGATAAAACAGGAGCCAACGCATGGAAACCAGTGTTGTGACAACTAAGCAAAGAACCAAGTTTAAAAAGTGTCTTTGTCACACAAACACGTGTTCGTGAAACATACAGTGAAGATAACAGTTTGACATTATTGAGCAAACAAGGTGATTCTCAAAGAGCTGCAAACCTGGAACATGTCAGCGTGCTCTGTGTGAGCCGGACAACTGGAGGAGAAAACAAGTGTCAGACCTTCAGCCTCAACTTCTGATTAAGTTTGATTCTCCAGAGACGTAAAACAACAGCTGGAAACGAATCTTTGCTTTAACTTTACCATTACAGTTGAGCTAAAAATAACACAAGCAAAGAACAGAGTCGGAGAATATCTGATCTGAAATTATTGACACGTAAAATTCTATATTTCCATTCAGGTTGAACGTAGACGTTTTAGCTGAACGATTTACATTTATATACTATTTTAATTTGTGACTATATCAGTAAAGTTTGGGGGAAATCGAAGAGTTAAAACTGCGTCCCTCCAACCATCTTCTGCAGTTAATTTCTGTTTCTAAGGCAGACGTGCAGAGTTTCAGCTCTTTTTCATGAATCATATCTTCTTCCTGTCGCACAGGATGGAAACCTGACAGCCTCTCTGTTTGGCTTTCTGTTGTTTCCATCAGCTTCAAAGCAAAACAAGCAGGTAGACAATATGAAGGAGGAACCCAAATAAGACTGAGGGAGTACAACAGACTAAAGAGACTGCAGAGAGAATGAGGCCCAGGTGAACTCGATCAAGACAGTGACAAGAGCTGACTTCCTGTTTCAAAAAGAAGCCCCACCTGCTCTCCAAACCTTCTGTTTGTGAGGGGCAGCCAATCAGAAGGAAGTTGGTTTATAAGGAGACCTCAAGTTCACATGGAAGGTGAACTGAGATCAACTCAAGTCCTGCTGTTGGATGATAATTTTTTTTTTTAAACTGAATCTTGCATATTTATTCTAGTAGAGCCCAAGACGTTAAGTAAAGAGGTGAGAATCAAGTAAAGCTGCTTTAAAATGCTTTTATGAATCTTGAGAATAAGTGACTTCCTGTGTGCGCTGTGAACACGCGGCGCTGTACAGGTGTACTAAGCACGATGTTTGTGACCTGGCTCAGTTTCAGACAACCAGCTGTGGTTGCAGTGGTTGGCCACACCTTTAACCAACGAAACCAGGAATGACATCAGTTTGGATCAGAAGTGTTATCACTTCCCTCCCAGGGTGGAGCCTTTCCATCCACAGTGCCTGAGGTGCACCACCCTCCCACTCTGTGTTTCACTACTTTCATATGTTTTGCAGGAGACGCCGCTGTCACACCTGACTCTGTGACTCCGCAGCCCTGTCTAACCTGGACCGGTCTCACTGGGATTCAATAGTCCTGACCTACATTTTGTTTTTAAAAAAGCTCCAGAGTAAAATTTCACACTGCTGCCAAGAAAGAGCTGCGCCTGAGCCAGATTTGGGGACACCCACGTGTGATTTCAAGCCGGGCTACAGACCAACTTATGTTTATATCTTTTCCTTAAAGTGTCCCAGTGCGCGGTACAGGTGCATCGCTTATTCATGCAGTAATAAGAGCAACCACCGGCCTCTGTGTGGTGTTGTAATGGAGACAATGGCATGACAGCACGATCTCAAACAAATGGCAACCTGTGATACTCCCAGCTCCTGTCCCACAGGAGAACAGCAGGGATGGTGGGTGTGGAAAGTCATGGAGAAAGTTCAATTCTGATCAGACACAGAAGCAGAGCCGAGAGGAGGCCGGAGAGAGTAAGACCGCACACAGCGTCGCTCAGCATGTGTCGAATCTCATTAGTCTGCTTAAATAATGACCTTGAATCCAACAGGGAAGTCTGAAAAACTGTTACAAAGCCCAGCTTCATAGGAGGAATAAACCCGAAGTGTTCCAGGTTCATTCCATGTAAAATCAATCAAACTTGGGTAAACTTTGAGGAGACATCGTGTGGCCTCGGTGGCTGCTTAATCAAGTTGTGTCATATTTGATGGCTCCTGGTCATAAATCCCTCGATTTTCCTCTTTTAACAAAGCTCACAGCTGTGCAACAGCAACATTGATGGTCACGTGTTCAATAAGAGTTTGTCTGAGGATGAACTGATTTCTGAGCAGCACTGAACACACCATAAGAAAGTTTGGTTATAAGTCAGAAGCTGAACCAGTCTAGACCTGGATGAGCCGTCACTGTGAAACTGTTCAAAGTGTGAAGGTGACATTTTTCATGGCTTCAGTAAATAAAAAACATCAGCTGATTCTGGCGGTCAGGTGACAGGACAACACGACAGGATGTTCCTGGCAGAATATTTTGTATTTTACAAGAAGTTATTTTTAGCACTTAAATCCACCGAAATCATTTCGATTCATAGTTTTGTATTGTTTTCCATTTTGAATAAAGCATCATTGTTCCATACGCCAGAGAGCATCAAGTTCAACAGTGCGAGGCGTTCAGGTGCATCACTGCAGAATCGGAAATCATTGAAGTGATAAAGAAGAAAAATAAAACAGGAAATGCTGATGAGAACAATCATATGTGGCTGTATGTGTGTTCATGCTCCCTCCTACATGCGTGGCACATAAAAGCTCCTAAAAATCTGCAGAAACACAAAGATGATGGATTTTTAAAATCACACCACTGTAGATATCTGTATATGATTACTCCACATTAACCCAACATCACTACATCTTCTCGTCCACCGAAATCTTTTGTGTTATTTCTTATAATAAGGAACACTAATAGCTTTATTTATAGCTAGCTGTTTTTAACATTTAGATGAAAAGGATTTGTCCTACATACTCGTTCATAGTTTGGTACTTGAAAGGTAAAGGGCGACTTTTGGCTGCTCAATAAACTGAATGTGACTTTTTGAAAAGAGAAAATAATTCGATTGTGTAACAAAGTTCCTGCCCTGACGTCAGCATCCATAGGGAGGTTTGTGGAAAGGCAGACACTCCCGAGCTGTCCGAGCTCGGGCTGTTGTGTTCCTGAGGTGAATAAAAAGTAAAAGTCAACAGAACGGCCGAGCCCTGTCGCGGTCATACGAGCTTCCTTTCAAAGCATTCGCTCAGGTGAGTCAGGCAGATGAATACCTATCAGCCTGTCAGTCATCATGAAACCCGAGCCCTCAAGCGCATTACACATGTGTTATATCTAAGGGCGTTTATAGCACTGATTACAGAGGGCCTGACATGTTTCCTGTTATGAGATGTTAAAGCTGGATTTGGATTTAGAGTCCAGATTTGCCCGAACGACCCACCCAGCAAACATTTCCACCCTGACCAACGTCAGCTGAGGTCGTCTCTCAGCATCGTCTCGGTTTAAAAACAGCTCTGAAATAAAAGTTGTGCTGCTGTCAGAGAACCAATTCTGCCATTGGCAGGACTGTTTGTTCAAATGCTGTTTTATATTTTTTATTGATGGCTGATGTTTATGGCACTTACATATGTCAGAAATATGTTAGTATTTAAAAGTAGAATGGGAGGCAGAGCCTTCAGTTTTCAGGCCCCTCTTCTGTGGAACCAGCTTCCAGTTTGGATTCAGGAGACAGACACTATCTCTACTTTCAAGATTAGGCTTCAAACTTTCCTTTTTGCTAAAGCATATAGTTAGGGCTGGACCAGGTGACCCTGAATCCTCCCTTAGTTATGCTGCAATAGACATAGGCTGCCGGGGATTCCCATGATGCACTGGGTGTTTCTTCTTCACTCACTATGTGTTCACAGACCTCTCTGCATTGAATCATATCTGTTATTAACCTCTGTCTCTCTTCCACAGCATGTCTTTATCCTGTCTTCCTTCTCTCACACCAACCAATCACAGCAGATGGCCCCGCCCCTCCCTGAGCCTGGTTCTGCCGGAGGTTTCTTCCTGTTAAAAGAGAGTTTTTCCTTCCCACTGTCGCCAAAGTGCTGCTCATAGGGGATCATATGATTGTTGGGTTTTTCTCTGTATGTATTATTGTAGGATCTACCTTACAATATAAAGCTCCTTGAGGCGACAGTTGTTGTGATTTGGCGCTGTGTACATAAAATTGAATTGAACTGAAGGCTTCATCTGTAACGTGGTACCTTCTACATTTAGATGAATATAAGATATTGATGCTGTGGAAACGATGCGTTAAAGTTAAACAAAGACAAATTTGTAACAAGATAAATACACATGATGACAAACAACGATACAATAAACTTTTGCAGATTTGTTTATTCAGATAAAATAGAAAAGATTTTAAAAAAGCCCAGAGAAATGGAAACCTAAAACGAGTGAGCGTGTTTCTCTTTGCTGGTAACGGTTGCTGTGATGCTGACTCAGTTCAGAGCCCATCCCAGCCTCTTTATGTTGATATCGGCTTTATCACTCCTGCTAAACGCTCCCAAGTTCATACATTCCTCCGCAGCTCCGCCCGCTCCACGCCCGCATTCTCTTTCTGTCTTTGTGACCGAGCTGCTTTGTTGGAAAGAATAAACTTAGACTTTGGTTTGAAAAGATGAATCAAACCTGCAACAATGAGGATTTGCTTTCAGGCCACGATTGTCCTGCTGCAAACATAACAAACAAAAAAAGTGGGACATTGGAGCCGCTGCCAAACCAACACACGCAATAAAAGTACAAATAATAGCAAAGTTATTACCAGGAAAGAAAAACAGTGGGAAAAAGAAGCACGAACATTTTTCAAAAACCCTCAATAGTCTTAAAAATAACACGAAGAATTGATTTAGGTGTAAAAAGAAGAGTACCATGGGACACAAGTGGAAACAGCTTCATATCATGTGAACTGTCAGTGTCACTGGCAGCTATAGAAACAGTGAAAACATGGAGCATATATAATTACAGGCACAACAGTGTGTTTGTATAGAAAACCACGTTTTGTATTCTGTAGCTTTTTATATCAATAATTATATAATTAAATGGCTGCTGAGTAGGTGAGACATTAATTCTCCAACAGTAAGGAGGGAAAATACATGTATGAAATGTTTAAAGTGTATTTATGCACTGGAACTGCACCTCAGCAGCCACTTCATTAGGTACACCTGGAAACGTTCCTGGAAACCAGATTTTGGTCCATGTCGATGTGACATCATCGTACAGCTTCCTCCACATCTCAAAGGCGCTCAGTGGGACTGAGATCTGTGACTGTGGACGTCATCTGGGCACCGTGAATTCATCGTCATGTTCAAGAAACCAGTTTGAGACGATCTGAGCTGTGTGACACGAGCAGCCAATCAGAAGATGGTGAATGTGGTCATAAAGGTTTGGACACGGTCAGTGACAAGACTCGGGTCGGCATGGAGTTGAAACGATGCTCGGTCGGTACCAAGGGGCCCAAAGTGTGCCCAGAAAATATCCCCCAGTCCATCACACCACCGGCAGCGTGAACCGTTAATACGGCAGGGCGGATCCATGCGTTCATGCTGTTTACACCCAGTTCTGATCCTACGGACTCGGTAGATCAGTGTTTTTGTTTTTGGTGAGTGTTTGTGAGCTGTAGCTTCTGTTTCCTGTTCTTAGCTGACAGAAGTGGCCCCCGGTGTGGGCTGCTGAAGCCCATCTGCTTCGAGCTTCGACGTGTGAACGCTGGAGAGACTGTTGCTTTTATCAGCTGAGAGGTGTCCATTCTCATGGACCTCTGGCGGTGTCTCCCAGCTGCTCACTGCTGTTTTCTCGCTTTTGGACCGTTCTCTGTGAACTTGGAGATGGTGGTGTGGCAACATCCCAGCACATCTCCTTTTTCTGAAATGCTCAGACCAAAGTCACTTAAATCACTTCAGCCTGGCTTGAGCATGTCCAGATGTGTGAACGCACTGAGTTGGAGCCATGTGATTGGCTGATTAGATATTTGGATGAGCCTAACTGGTGTACCTAATGCAATGGCAAGTGAGGGTACATCCTGTCGCAAAAAATGACAAAAGATAAAGAATAAGAAGAGAAATAAAAGGTAATCTAGCCTAACGATAGTCACAACATCAACTTAGGAATTAAAACTAATGTGAAATGATTTTGATTTGTAAGAGGAAACAAAGCCAAAGTAATACTGGTCAAATAGGAACGTAAATATGGAAGATTTTTCTAAAGATTGCAAAATGTGACAGACTGGAAGGAATGGAAATCAGATACATGTAAAATTTGTGTTATAATTGTGACAACATAATAAAAATATGATAACAAAAGTAAAATATAAATGCGCCTAAATCCACCGATCAGTGCAACTGCGTTTCTGATTTTTCTGTTTTGTTTCCCTTTAAATAAAATTGTATTTTCTGCTTTTTGTTGAGACCTTTAAAAAAAACAGCAAAGCAACAACAACAGTTTTTGTTCAGAGAATAAATTAATGTTCATGACATTAAAACAGTAATTATGACAGATGTTTGTAAAAAAGACTGAGAGATACAAAGTAAACGTGTTGCGTTGGTCTGATCCTCGATGAGTGGGCGTCTAGCTCGGCCGCTCGGTCTGCTCCTGGAAAAGACGGACGACGGGATGAGCATCGAGATTATTTAAGCAGCACTCGTTCCTCACTTATTCACCAATAACACAACAACTGTGGGCGGAAGCAGTGAATATTATCTTAGTTATTGATTTTGGAAAGTGACAATAAGTGTCATAAATCCTGCACCGTCATCGGGGTCATAAAGGGGGAAAAGGTGGAGAATGTAAACTGTGACCGGCAGGAATGATTTACAGACGTATGAAAAGGCGTCACTTTACCCAGCGCTGATAACAAAAGCTAAAGTATTTTAGTGGCTGGGTTTTTAAAATATTTACTAAAACCAATATTCACTCAGCCCTTGTTTGTCCAACTCCTTTCAGTCATAGTCACTTTATTAAATTATGGGAAGGTTCGACCTGGATTTTTTACATTTCCAGTTTAAACTTCAGTTGACTGTGACTATCCCAGTCCACAATCTGCAGTTTCTCTAACGTCCACTAGAGGTGCCAGCAGTGAGTCAGTCTGTTTAGTGCGTGATACAAAATGTATGGAAGCCCGTTTCCGCCACTAAATAAAAACAAAAAAGCTAGTATCCATAACTCGACATTTCGAGAAATATAACTCAAAATTTCGAGTTAGCTCTGCCAATCAAAAATATACGTGAATGAGGTCGCTTTCTTGTTACCCGGAAGCATATGGCGCAGAGGAGCGCGCACTCAAAAACGGATCCCAACAAATTGGCGCTTTGGCGAGTACGTTTGCTGATAGTAACACCGTGTTATTCAGCTAATAACACGGGGATTTCATCATTTGAAGCCAGGCTGAAAACACTCAGCAATCTGTGCATTCACGACTGGATGTATTACCGGTAGCTTAGCTGTAGCATTTGTAGGTGAGGGCTTCAGCTTCCGGGTAACAAGGAAATGACGTCATTCACGTAGATTACTGATTGGCAGCGCCAACTCGAAATTTCGAGTTGCTTTTCTCAAAATTTTGAGTTAATAAATCGAAATTTTGAGTTAATATGTCGAAATTTTGAGAAAGTAACTCGAAATTTTGAGTTATGGATCCTTTTTTTTAGTGGCGGAAACGGGCTTCCATAAACCTAACATCTGTCCAGCAGCTCGAGAAGACGTTTACAGGTTAACATAGCCTGCGTAGCACGAGCCGATAACTCCACCTTCTCTGTCTGATGGACAGGCCGATCGATGATGTCACATGTGTGTCCGCTGTCTCAGGTCATTGTGTGCTAAATAAGGTCTGTAGTTAACAGGTTAGAGACCTTTAGATACCGGGACCCAAAGTTGGAACATGTGACGTGTCCCTGAGGTGTGATTGTTACAGAGTACAGCATGGTGAGAATCCCCACTAAGCTTTTGGGCTGGCATTACTTTAGACTTTTTTTGTATTAATTGCATGCTTTGGCGTTTCTTTGTGTTTGGTGTGAGGTGTGGGCCACACCCACGTGGGAGTGCAGACTCTACTCTAGTCCAGCTGCCAGCTGTTTGGAGTTGAGTACAGGGAGCAGCTGATTGGGGAGGACTGGAGCCCTTCTCTATGAAGGGGAGAGGAAACAGGAAGTGGGGGTTGTTGTTGTCTTTTAGTAGGACACTGGTGCAGCAGGGAAGCCTCGAAGATTCCAGGATGAAGTTTGCACATTTTAATGGAAACGATCCCTGAAAGAACCCTGACCGCGGTGGCTTTGGGCCTTGGATTCCTGGCCAGAGTTGTGTCTTCAGCCAGTAGTTTGACCAGGAGAAAGAAAAAATAAATCTTGTGTACCCCATTGCAGTGTGCGTGTGGTGGTTCCTTACTGGTCAATGTTAGAGCTACTACTTCCTCGTATGGAGGCCATTTTGGGCCTTACGTAACATGATGACAGATGTTGATGTATGGTGATGAAATGTGTTCATTCATGTGTTTAATGTCACTGAACGTGGAGGAACTTGTACACAGATTATTTTCTGCATGAGCCTGTCGGGTCTTTGCTCAGGGATCCAGGATGATGCTAACTTCTGAGCTGGCCTACGAAAAACCAGTGACAAATATCCGATGTGAGGACACAGTGTGACATGTCCTCACGAGCATCAGGGGCGAACAGGCGGGTGGCCTCTGAGGACTTCTGAGAGGTTACTGTGGCCCTCTTTGTGAGCACATGATTAATTTTACGTGAACCCTTCAAATATTTGTACGTTTGGACTTACGTATTGTCTCCCATTGGTGGCTTCAAAGCGCCCGTGAGTGGTGTAGAGAGGGATGTCGTCTCTGCTGTTCAGGTGGTCGTAGGGACTGAAGCCTTGGGAGCGCCCCCTGTAGCAGCAGCACCACACCAGCTGGAGAGACAAAACAATTAGCCTGACTCAGTCTGAATGTTTAAAATCCACAGTGATGATGAAAGGAGGAAGCTTATTAAACACGACATATGTTTGCTGCGTGCAAATATACATGGCCATCAGACAGAAACTTAGACTGTCTGCTGAGGGCGCTCGTGCCAATCATGTGCTCCGATCAGTGTTTGTTATTGTTGTTGCCACATAAATGCACAGAATCTGAAGTTTTCCTCAGTAATAAAGAAGCATTTCTGCTGCCACTATGGGGAGTGGCTGTTTCAGTCTCAGATTTGTGTGAATTCAGTGAACTCTGAGTCAGTATTTTATCCCCTAATGGAAAACGCTCTGACTTTGGTCCAGCTCCGGGGCAAACGCTAAATGCCGGTGTCGCGTTTCACTGCTGATCATTGCTCTGGCAGCGAAGAATAAAAGTCCTGTAGTCCTCGTCCATGAGTCAGAAGTGTGGTGTTTCTTATAATCGCTCAAACCTCGGGGGCATTTGCCTTTTTTTCTTTTCTTTCTTTTTTCTGCTGCCTCAGATTTCTCAGTCAGCAAAACAATCAGGATGTAAAGCTAAAATGTAAAGTTGGTGCTGATAAAAATCTACAGGGTGAGCAATGATTGAATTAAGCAGCAAGTCCTGAAGAACATGCAGGACTCAAATAATGAGCACGTTACTCTGGAGGAAGAATGTGCTGAGACCGCAGCAGGCTGCAGATGTCACCCGCACCTTTCAGACACGCTTTGATTACTGGGATGAAAGCTCAGCAAATTTGTGTTGATTTCTTAGTGGTTAAAAAAAGGCAACCCTGAGCTGACTGCAGTAACTCTGAAGACAAAGAGGATATTTAAAACTAGACGGAAAGAAAGCGGAGAAGTCCAAAGACCTGCTAGAAGCATGTAAGGTAATAACTGGTTTGGTCTCGGGCCCGAGGATCTGATACACTGCACAGATTGTTCAATTTGTGCTCTAATTACAACAATGTCACCATGTTGCCCAGCAACCACCGACCAACAGGATAACATTACATTTATTTAGCAATTCTTCAGATAGAAAACATTAGAGAAACATTTTATTTGAATTTCGTAACATTAACGTCTAATTTAACTTTAATGTTATGATATATGACATTTTAATGCTGGCATGTTGCCCGGCAACCACCTAACAATGAACTATAATGGCATTTATGATGGTAAATGTGACAGTGGCAGTAGATCAAATGGAAATAATAAGTCGGGTGTCATGGATACACGAAACGTCCAGATTCTGTCTGAAAAGACGAGATGCAAACTTTACTGCTGATCGGTTCCTGTTAGAGTGTAAAAAATATTATTTCAACAATACTTAAAGTTTGTACAGGCCGACGTCTTAGAGCAGCCACTGTGAGGCAGCAGTGTTGTGACCGTGGGTACCCTTTGTGAAAAGTTGGGTTGTGATTGCCGCCATTTCCCAACTCTGTGGTTCTCATGACCATTGATCAGTGGTCATGAGGATTTTCATATTAATGATCAAGGAACTGACCTCCCAGCACATTGTTCATGCAGGGCTGCCAGTTTCAGTCATTGTGCAAATGTACAGTTTATAATATTGGGGAAGGAGTCGCCTGGATGAGTGACGAAAGGTTTCTCCCACTGAAAACGTCCAGGTGAACAGAGTCAACCTTTTGGGTTTGTGTTGTGTTTGGGATTGCAGGACCAAAGTGCACCTCTGTAAAGGAAACACTTGATTCGTAGTTTACGAAAATAAATGTTGAACGACTGAATTGACTGAATTCAAATTGTGATGATGCCAGAAACATGATGCGGAGGATGCTTCGGGTGTGTCTGTGAGATGCAGCTTTGATAAAATGCTGCTATTTGAAACCCTGGCAGTGGCAACGCAGCGGTTACCGAATGTGGCGCAGTCCCTGAACGCACCGCGAACCAGAGGCAGTGTGTTGGTCTCCATATTTGCTGAGATGGATTGTGGGGTGTCTATAAAGATGTGATTTGACTTCCTGGAGTGAAGGTGAAATGTGTGCACTCACCAGTCCGATCAGCAGCAGGAGCAGCAGCAGCAGAACCACAGCCGCCAGGACCAGCAGAGCTATGCCCCACCCAGGAACCCCCGCACTGCTGCCGGCCGCAGACGCCGCTGTGCTCTGGGTCGTACTCGTGGACGTGCTCGGAGTTGTGGTCGACTGGTTTGTGGCCGTTCCGTTGCTCTCTGTGGAAGGGGGGGATGTCGCGGAGGAATTGGTGTTGGTGCCGTTACCGGGCGAAGCGGTTGTAGAGGTTGTGTTGTTTGCTGAAGAGCTGTTGTGCGGGGTCGTGACATTCAGAGAGGCGGTTGTCGGGTTCGTCGTCACTGCGGTGGTGTTGGTGGCGCTGGGAACAGATGTACTGGTGGTGTTGGTGGCGCTGGGAACAGATGGACTGGTGGTGTTGGTGGCGCTGGGAACAGATGGACTGGTGGCGCTGGGAACAGATGGACTGGTGGTGTTGAGTCCAGCAGATGTTGCGTTGTTAGAAGAGGTGCTGAGGGTTGGTGTTGTGTTGGTTGAGTCTGTTCCAGAGGCCACTAATGGAACAAGAACAGTTTTAAATAAACTCAGTCAATCTTATGATGACTGTGACCGAGGCAGGAATCAAAGGTATCGATGTGGGAGTTTAATGAGGCTGCAAAGTGCCGTGTATGCTACTCCACTGCCTTCATTTCACTCTGCTCACCTCACCTGTGAGCTCAGTAAACAATCACTAGTTTTAATGAATAAAACAACATGAAATCATGCTGCAATTATAGGGAAAACATGATCATGGAGGATGATGAACTTTAGAAGTTTTAGATAGATCTTCCCACAAGGTAAAGCGAAAAATATCTGTCTCACCGACTGTTGCAAAATAACATCCTGTGTTGCTTCCGTCAGATCACTTCTTTCACACTAACAGCTGTTAAACACCAAATAAAACAGAGATCGAGTCTGTAGCATCTTTCCCCTGACGAGGCTTCACCACCACACGTGAAGCCTCCTAAAATATCTGATGTATCTCTCACATGCTGAGGTTTGCTGATTTTTGAGGTTAAAATACTAACGATGAAGTAAATGATGAAGACAACAGACCATAGAAAGGCGCTCTGTGCTGCACTGAAACATGAGCAAGGCGAATCTCAGGGTTCGAGGCTGAGACTCACACACAAAAGAAAACCTTAGAAATCTGAATGTAACTATTTCTGGACAGTTTATCAATCAGCAGGTTAATAAATGATGGAAACAATCAGACCGAGTGAGCTCAGCTGCAGACCGTCGCTAAACTAAAGGACTATTCTTTCTCTTTTATATCTTTGACAGCTTTAGTTTCCATTGTTTAACATGTTTGTGTTCCTCTGATGCTCGATTTCTATTTTGTTTCGAGTCTGAGACGGAACAGAAAAGAGTAAAACAGAAGATCTAAAAAGGTGTAGTTTAGGTGTAGTTTTCCAACCTGAGGCGGTGAGGCTGAGAGCCAAGCAGAGCGCGAGCAGTTTCTCCATCTTTCTGCAGGAAATCCGAAAGTTTGTGACAAAGATCTCAGTGTGAGCGGCCGCCGGAGTCTGTTTCCATCCAGAGAAAGACTCCTTTATACACCCGCCTCACCTGCACACAGGTGGGGGAGAGAGAGGGGGGAGGGGCTGCGTTCCTCCGCCTCCCAACATGCCTTTGGGTTTCAGCAACAGCAGAGCTCCACTCTGTGGTCGCAGCTCAGTTTCCTGTTTCATTCTTATTTGTCTGTTTGTGCAGCTGTTTAAACCCGAGAGATAAAAACAAACCCAACGAGGAATCTGTGATCCGAGTGTGCCGACACGGAGCGCTGCAGCTTTAGGGATGGATCCATAACATCGTAGATCAATATGGAAATAATCGCACACTCACCAGCGTCAGCAGCCCGTTAAGTGTAGATTGTACAGAAGTGTGTTTGTGCCACAGTTTTTCAGATTTGTGTCAAAGCATGCGGAAAAACTCTTCTGTTTATCTTTCAACTCATCTTTGTTTACTTTCTATGAATTTTTACCTTCTGATTAAAACAGTCGGTTTAGGAGAAACTGTCGCTCAACACAGACTGAAGGTTGCCAGGTTTCACCGGCTGGCTGAGTCGATGCTTCGGGCATGCGTGGCCGCACTGAGCGGGGTGTTCCCCTCACAGACGGGAGGTTAGCTGGACGAAGAGCAGCCGAGTCGTCTGTTTGCATTTATACATCACAAACTGTTCAATAAAGGACATTTTCCAGTTTCACTGAAGTTAACAACCGTTGGAACATTGTTGCTGTTTTGTGTGTAGCTGCGATTGATGCATCACACAAAACTGGTACATTTATGAGGACGTGTTTGTTTTTTTTAGTCAAGGAGCAATTTCACTTCACTTTTCAAGCTTAAGGTGGAAGACAACATTTCAGTGCTTCGAACAATAACTCAGAAGAAATGTTGACATTCAAACGTGTTTCCATTTTTCCACCGTAAGAAAAACGAGTGGACATTAATGCTTCAGCTAGCTGTGAGTCCATCGATGAAGTGTGTGTGTGTGTGAGAGCTGAGGTGTGTGCCGTGCTTGGATGAAATGTTTAATGCTGCAGAAAGCAGACATGATGGTGTCACAGCTCTGCAACAACATTTTGCAGCTGCGTGGGATCTTTTTGGTAAATTTGGTGTTTTTTAGGGCGCTGAATCCAAAAAATTTCCATTTCTCTCCATCACGTACAGGGTTTTCTGCAAACGTGAAGAGTTTCCATTTAATAAAGCACAACAGCAATGAAAAAAATCTTTGTTTCTGAACACAGATTTCAGTTTAAAAAGGGAAACTGTACGCTTAATTAAACTAGAAACCTGCGAGAAATCCTGACGAGGATTTTAAAAATATTTTTCTGGTTTCAGGGAGTAAAAATCTGTAAGAAACACTCAAGAAAATCATGTGCAGTTGTTTGGTTGCAGACCTGCGGCTAACAGCGTCGGGTCAGATGCTTACCGTTTTATTCCCCCAGGAATATTTTCCCTGCCTACAAAGAAAAAACAAGCTTTTTATTTTTAGATTTTTTAAATATTAGTGTCATTTAGTTAGTATAACCAATAAGTCTCATGAAAAATAAAGTTACTAAAGCTTTGAGGTAAATGTGGTGCAGTGCGCCCGTGTTCCTCTTTAGACTTGCTTCTGTATCTGTAACTACTAGTTTAATACTGTAACTAGTATTACAGTATTAAACTAAATCAGTACAAACTGAAAGCTGATTTAACTGTAGACTGTATATTAAAGATGGCTGTGGCCACCGTCAAGTCAGGATTTAATTTGTGAAACCCCACAGTGAAGTCTTAAAATGTCTACATGCATCATCACGCGCGCAGCTTCACTCCAAACGAGACAACGAGGTGCAAAATAACATTCATGCAGTTTTAGTAACACTGAGGGCGTAAAGACAGCAGCAAAGCGTCAACTGAGGTCAAAGGTTGTTGAGAAATGCAGTCGTTTTCACAGATTCACAATCAAACATCTTTAAACAACCAGAGGAGTCGCCCCCTGCTGGCTGTGAGAAAGAATGCAGGTCGTTCCCTTTTTGACATACTGCCTGAAAATTGTGACGCAGTCACAAAATCTTTGTTCTTTGAAACAAAGCTGCACTAAGTGTCCATGTCTCATGTTGCTGCCTGATTCAGGTGAGGTGAACAGGGTGGAGCCGCAGAGCAGCTGACTGTGATTGGCTGATTATCCACAGGTAAACACAGCACACACTCGTCTTACACAGGAAGTCATTGGCCTCACAGGGGTGCGCAACGAAGCAGACGAATGAGTTATGATGTGCTCAAATATGCTAGAACATAAACATATGCTAATATCTGCAGGGGATAAATGACTTATTTATGGGTTTTTCTGCATTAATCTCTGGCACCCGTTCCACAGATGTCTGACACATGATTGGACTTTCATGCTACTTTAGCCATGCAAGCCCCTTTTTACCGGAGGCAGAAAGCCTGAGTTAACAAACCTCACACTGAACAAAGCTGGATGACTGAACTCAACTCAACACTGAACCCTGATCAAACGAGAAGCACAGCTGAGAGTTTGAGATGCTTTTTATTAATGATTATGAGCAAAACTGATCAACAGCAACCATCTGAATCAAAGTGAATTATGGGAGATGAAACTGTGAAGTCCCCTTAGTGGGTGATGATGTCATTAGTTTAGCTGTAGGCATCTTTCTCAGTCTGGGGTTGGCTGGATGGAGCAGCCACTGGGGGTTCAGGGGTCAGTGCAGGCTGAACAGGCTCCGCCCCCGATGCACCTGGAAACCAAAGGAAAAAGAAAAGTCAGAAAGATGGTTTCCCTTACTCTCTGCTGCGTCACTGCTCTGAGCTGTGAGTCAAAGTTTACAATGATAATCCGATAAACTCTGTAAAGGTGAAGAAAAGTAGATTTAACAGGAAACAGGAAGATTTGAATCGAACAGAGCGCTGAACGAGGCGAAAGGACCTCAGGTGAGACAGCAGAGGAGCAAACTGAGGGCACAGGTGAAACCAGTAGAAACCAGTAGAAATCTCTGTCACCTGTCAGACTCGTCAGTTTGGGTGCCAGTTGGGTCCAGAAGGAGCAGGAGCTCTGACTCAAACCCCGCTGATGATGGAGGTTAGTGCTTAGCTCCAGGTAGGTGGGCGGAGCCTCTGAGGACAGCACTGGCTGCCAGCGGGGCAGAACTGACTCCGCCCACGATTGGGATGGGTTTGGGTTCCTGAGAGCAAAAAAAAAAATGAATAAATCGGCTCCAGACGCAGGACTCGGAGGTTCGAGCGTTAGCCTCACCCGCGCCGTATGAAGCTGGAGACGTAGGTCATCATGGCAAGAGAGAGGCGCCGATCAGAGGAGGCGAAGCGCTGAGAGCTCATTGGATGATGAGGTGTCCCGAAGGCGAGCTGAACATCCAGAGGAAGGTACACGTCGGCCCTGCAGACACACACAGGAGAGCCTTTTACACCCAACAGCCCCTCTGATGCAGACAGTGTAGGTCACCATCATAACGCTGGGTGAGGTCTGCTGTGAGGAACGGATGGTCCAGGAAGTGACATCGAGGGTTTATCTGTACAACTCCGCCCTCCTTTCAAGTATGTTCTGTGTTAGAGGCGACGGAGGAACATTGATGTTTAGCGCTGAGGTAGACACTGCGCACCTGTCGTGAGCGCTGGAGGCCGGTTGGTGGTACAGGAAGACACTAGCTCTGTTCTCCGCCCAGTGCCTCGCCATCTGGAGCGTGGGACAGATGATGAACAGGTCTCTGCAAAGCAAACACATGAAAGCGTTCACCAGAAACACGACAACAGTGTGTGTGTGTGTGTGCGTGCGTGCGTGCGTGCGTGTCGGTTCTGACCTGGTGGCGTTGTTGAGCGCTCTGGAGAACAGGTTGTATCCAGCAGCTGAGGGACTGTGATCCAGCGAGTAGAACCACGCCGCCGCCTCCTTCAGCAGCTCATTTCCCGTGGCTCCGCCCAGCGAGCGGCTCAGAGCCTTGTAAAACGCCGTCTTGCTGTCAGCTCTGCCCTGCAGAGACTCAAAGTCCTGATGAAAATTATGCCGCCGTTACTTTCTTAAACTGAACCTCTTGAGTAGATTTACAGGTAGTTTAAGCGTGACCTCTGACCTTTATCTTGCGAGCACGGCTGATCAGACCATCGTGCTCTGATGTTCCCAGCAGCAGGTCCACTCTGTGGAAGGACGACCGAGAGACGGACTGACGGACCGGAGACCAGGACTGAAACGGCCCGCTGACCGCCAACAGCTGCGGGGCGAACACAGCGCAGGTGAGACACGTGACACGAGGACTTGCACCAGCGCAAACTGTCCTGGACGTCTACCTTTGTCTGAGCGGCGTTGAGCGTGTGGACAGATGACGCTCTGAGGCAGGCCGCGAGGTCAGAGGTCACACAGCCGAGCTCCTTGGCCAGATCGAGGGCCTGACGTCTGGAGGTGGACGGAGTCTGAACCAGTGATGGAGAAAACGCTGACCCGCCCTGCAGGAGGAGATAAAAGCGATGAAGAACTTTGAGGTTGGCTCGTGGTCATCGTTCCTCTTCAGAGCATCTGCTCCACTGCTGATAAAACAACTGTTAGTCTCCGCCTGCTGTCTGGAGGAAGGAAGGACGACTCGAGGTCTCACCATCAGCATCATCCTCTGGAACAGAGGACGAGACGAAGACAGGAGGTGAAGGCTGGTGATGTCAGCACCACCACGCTCCGCCCCCACCGTCACTCTGCTGTTGTCTCCGCCCATCAGCCAGATGTGGTCTTTGACCCAGCGCAGCGCTGCCTCCTGGTCCGAGAGGCCGTAGTTACCATGGAGACCAGACTCACCTGGAGAAAGGGGTGGACAGGAGGCCAGGTGAGTCATTTAGCGTGTACGTTTTTCTCTCTTTCTTTGTTTTTAAGTCACCTGTGCTCAGGAATCCCAGCGCCGCCGTCCGGTAACTCGCTGTTACCACGACGATATTACCCATAGCAGCGAGGATGGAGCCATCCAACAGTCCTGGGTTCTCATTGGCTGAAGGGTTGAAGAAGAAAACCA